ACGCCCCGCCACTTGCCTTGTTGGCTGGCAGCTTCTCCCTCAGGGAGGAGATGAGTCTCCAGCTCTCCTCGCAGGAGCGCTTGTCTGAGTCGTCCCCACTGTCAGAGTCAGCATACTGTCCGGGGGGGGGGGAAGTGGAAGCGACAAACAGGGACTTTATTTTGTTTTGCAAAGATCCAGAAATACCATAAACGGAAGAATGAAAAACTGATGTCATCAACTATATTCAGCATATAGTCTACTATCAACAGACAGGCTCATAACCCTTGTTTTTGTGTGTGTGTGTGTGTGTGTGTGTGTGTGTGTGTCCTCTTCTCACCAGTCTCTGCTGCTCCAGCAGCAGGTCCGCCTCCTCCTTCTCCCGCCGGTACTGACTCTCCAGGTCCTGCAGCCTGCAAGACACAGAGTCCCTGATCAGTTTGGGGATCCGTCGATCCACCACGGTCCCCTTCCCTGCCATGGCTGGTTACCTTACTTACACTCTTAAAGTGCCATTAGAGTACAAACAGCAGCTCCTGCATCCTTCCCAAATCCACCACAGAGGGTGTGACAGCTTTGGGGGAACCCACACTTCCCTCTCTGCCTCAGAGGCTGGTATCTGATTTTATTAATTGATTTTCCCATTTATCCATCCATTTTTTCATACATTCATTTCCCCATTCATTCATTCCTCCCTTCCTCCATTCATTCCTGCCTCACACCTAATCAGAAACAAAGCTCATCACAAAGCATTTCCCTCCTGCTATAGATCAGGCATAATATTTCAGTTTCGGGGCCAAAGACTGCTTTCAGCACAGTGCACAGACGCAGGAACGGGAACACGGGCGTCTGCGTTTTCAGCTGGGGCCAGAGGAGCAACACGCAAGGACCCATCAAACCAAAACAGGAGGAATAATTCACTCAGAAACAGTCAAACTCTGAAGCCCTTTTTCTCAGTTTAAGTGTCAGTGTAATTATTGCGTTTTGCCTTTGTGGGGCAGTATTCACGTTTTTTCCCAGGCTCTTTCACACACCACACCTGAGGCAGTGGGGGGAAGGGGGGGGCACAACGCTCACCTCTTCTCCATCTCAAACTTGATGTCGATGCCCTGCTTCTCCAGCAGTTCCCGTTGAGCGTAGTTCCAGTCCACTGGCTCCCCCTGCTGCTCAATGCAGGCGCTGCGCTCCCGCTCCAACCGCGCCTGGTCCGGGTGGTTGAAGCGGAACACGTGGTTCTTTCCCATCACAATGCGGTTGCCTGAAGGAAAAGAAAAGAAGGTATGTTTAAGGGTTTTTTTTAAATTTCGGACTAAGAAGCAAGCGTTTGGCTCAGTGGGTTAGGGCCCTGTGCCTGTGATCGGAAGGTTGCCAGCTCGAATCCCGCGGCGGACAGACGTTGGGCCCCTGAGCAAGGCCCTCAGCCCCCACTTATTCCAGGGTCGCTGCACACTGGCTTACCCTGCATTATGACCCCAAAGCTTGCAGTCATCTGTGTGTATATATATGTATATTATTGCAAAAAGTAGTCAGTCTGGAAGAGATACAGCCCTTGCCAGTGCAGCAGATCCTCTAAACATCCTCCTCAATGTGCGTTTGCGTTTCCTGTCATGTGACTTTTGAGATTATCCATTCCGCCTCCCACCCCCAAGAGCACCAGCACTCATTAGCGTGAAAAAGGTGGTCACACTCCCAACTGTGCCGCCACTCCGGTCCCCCAGGGGGCGCCGTTGTCGCACCTTGTTTCAGCACCAGGGGCTCCGTGATCTGCTTGCCATTGACGTAGGTTTCTGCCCCGTCCAGCGGTTCCAGGGTCACGTCCACTGAAACGTGGGGGGGCAGAGGGTGGTTAGCGAAGGGCTGACAGACAAAGCCAGACAATCATCACATCCTGGATGGAGAGCGAGGACAGGAACTTTGAGAGGATGAGGAGGGACAGGAAATAGGATGGTGGGGGGGGGGGGGGTATGGCTGATGTCAGCATTTTTGAAAGCAAAACAATACCTGACAGATCCCCAGAGCGCTTTACCGGGAGAAACAGAGAGACAACGCGTTACAGCGGAGTGTGTGGCACCCCTACTGGACACCCAGAATACTACAGCCCTGCCACGCATATCTGGGTGGTACAGTTCTCGACAGGTGGTGGGAGGAGAGGGGGGAGCTCACCTCCTCCGCCCTCATTAACGCGGCTGTAGAAGATGCAGTGCTGCTCTTGAATGAACTGTCCGCTCAGGCGGATGTCCACCTCCTTGCGGCCCACTCTGGGGGGGGGGGGTCAAGGAAAGGGCAGGGGGGGTCAAACCTGGCCAAGGACTATACAGACCACAGAAACCTCAGCATGCATGTGCGCCCGCCCCCTCACCTTGTGACGCCATCTTTGATGTAATACAGCAGGCATTCTGACATCAGTGGGTCCTCGTTCAGGTTCACCAGGTGTGGCGTCTGTGGTAAACGGGACACGCGGGGTAAGCCGGAGAACGGGCACGCGCTCCGACCCTTCAAGGCGGGGGCGTTCTGACCCCGCCAACGTGCCAGTCACTCACCCCTTTGGGGGAGAAGACCCCCACCGTGCCACCGTCCTCCCTGATTGACACGCCCATCTCCGCCAGCAGAGCCTCCCTAAGATGGGGGAGGCGAGAGTGAGACACCGGCAGGAGGGCAAGGTGGGGGAGGGAAGGATCGTGGGGGGGGTGTTTACCTCTCCAGACGGATGGACTCCGTCTTCCTCAGCTTCTCCTCCCAGGTCTCATTCAGCTCGGCGATGATTTTTTCAGTTTCCTTAAAAAAAACGGAGAAATTAATGGAAACAATGTTTCGGGTTCAGAGAGACCCGGGGCACCAAATTCGAGGACACCGAGGGGACACCGGGTCGTACCGCCAGCATCTCCACGGCCTCCTCCTTGCTGATGACCACCTGACCTCCCTGGAACTCGTCGGAGGAAGCGGGAACCTCGCCGTCGGCGATGGGTTCGGACCCGGGGGCAGGGGGATGCTCCGAGTGCTCGGCCTTGTTTCCGGGGGAGGGGGCCGCGCTGGCAAGTCCTGCACCTGTGGCCTGGTTGTTGTTCATCTCGTAACCTGATTGGGAGGGGGGAAGTGTGTATTTGTGTGTATTTGTTTGTTTGTTTGTTTGTATTTGTTTGTTAGTTTGTTTACACGCACCAGCAGCAGTGAGGAGCTCGGAGCTCAGGCCCTGGGAGAACAGCAGCTGCCGCAGACGGCTCACTTCCTCCTTCAGCTCGCGGATCAGGCGCGCGTTGGGGTCCTCGTTGATGACGGCGTTGCAACGTATCTGTTTGGCCCGGTCTGCGTATCTATGGCGGGGGGGGCACAGGGGCTGGTGATACAGGGTTTACATATAAAAGTGAACACATCTGCATAAGAGACGGAGGGGGGAGCTGTACCGGAGGGTACTGAGGGTCTCCTCGTAGTTGATGTCCGCTGGGCTGAGGGCAGCAATCATGGCAGTGCGAGAGTTACCACCTGACAGAGAGGGAGAGAGTCAGAGCGGGTGAGGGAGTCAGGCCTGGGGGAGAGGGTCAGAACTGGGAGAGAGAGAGGGGGGGGGGCAGAGAGTCAGAGGGGCGAGAGAGAGGCGGAGGGGCGAGAGAGAGAGAGAGAGAGAGAGAGAGTCAGAGGCGGAGGGGCGAGAGAGAGAGAGTCAGAGGCGGAGGGGCGAGAGAGAGAGTCAGAGGCGGAGAGGCAGAGAAAGAATGTTTCCTACCAAGGTTTTCTTTGAGGAGCCAGGTTAGTACAGAGTCTCTGTACGGTATGAAATCTGATTTCTTTTTTTTGCTACTTTGCTGAAAAAGAAAAAAAGAAAAGGGTCTTCATAAGAGCGCCGGTAAGAGAAAGAGCTAACATGCTATCGCTGCTTGCACCTGAGAACTGGATGTATTTCACTGTATTCAATGCAGCAATCAAATCCAGTGTGTATAAAAGCATCTCGATTTGGCAGGACAGACGATGCTGTGTGGCTCGTTACTCAGAAATGAAGCCACTGCATCCGGCAGCCTCCCCGACATCCAGGGACGACGGGCTGCCCAGATCCATCCATCCATCCACTACCCAGGTCACACTCACCATTTCAGCCAGGGCAGAGATGACCTTCCCCAGGGTCGTGAGGGACTTGTTAATGTTGGCTCCCTCCTGCAGGGGGAGTGACAATAAATACTTTACACACCGTAATCTGACATCAGAATGTAGGTACTGTGGGAAAAATATGTATGATCTACGTTCACGCTAAACTTCACGCAACAAAACATTTACTTCCATAATCAAACCATCTTGATCTGTAGGCCGACAAGCAAGATGAAGTCACCCTGTAGCTTCTGGTGTGTGGAACCGGTCAGTTACCTGCCTTAATCTAATCAGAGCCTGAGTATTACGCCATGGTGAGATATGGTTATGGTGGACGCAGAGGGATCACACAGGAGCAGAACCTCACCTTTAACCTCATGCCTTTCGCTCCAGAGGAGTCAGCGCGTTCACTTCCTGCCAGATCGACCAGGCTTATCTTACTGACCTGAGAGAAGCAAGGGTGAGAGGCTGTGAGCACAAGGGGCGTGACACCTCAAACACACACACACACACACAGACGAATGGACAACCTTCTCCGTGTCCAGGTTGGTCATCTGGTCGTGGCGTCTCTGGGTGAAGACGATGGTGAAGACGGCGTGTGAGCGGCTGCTCGTCTCATTCATGTTGGTAGCAGCCACTGTCCTGAGGGGCGGGAGCGGCTCAGAGTCATTCTAGGGTGATCGAAGGTGTCCCCCCCTACTTCACAGCAGGCAACCATCTTCTTGAGGAATCGTACCTGTCCTCATTAATTCTAGACACTGCATGTGGTCTTTGTGGACTTCACTGGCCACTCCCTTAACTCCTCCCACTTCCCCCAACAGGCCACACCCTCCCTCCCCTTCCAACACCCTCCTCGATTTCGTCCCACCCCCCTTCCATGTTGCACCTGGCCTTGTTCCCACTGTCCATGAGGTCGGCGATGTCGTCGAAGCTGGTGACGGCCAGCTTGGAGAGGTCCTCCACATAGGGGCCCATGATGGGGTGCTCCCTCACCCGCAGGTTGCCCCTACTCTTGGGGTTCAGCAGGTCCCGGACGCGCTCGCAGTAGATCTCCATGTAGGACACCTGCCGACACCGAGCCACCGTCACCAACT